TACTTATGTCTATAAGCACAACAATGACAGGGCTAACAGCAATTATATCACATAAAAGGTTTAAGTAATTATAATGAAAGGTAACTTTTACTTCTGCCTGATCACATCGTGATTCCTGCTTTTCAGTCTGCCAGTTAACCGATTAGACTCATGAATATCTGAAAATCTTCACGTTAGCTAATCAATTGATGAAGTTCGAATCATTTACTCACTTGGGGTCAAATTGCTTGCTTGGGTTTCGTGAATGAGATGTGCCAAAACTGGAGAAACCAGTTAGACTGAACAGTTCAATCCAAGAGGAAAGCGAGTTCATAAATGGACATTTGGCCAGATTATAAGGCTTTTGATGACATCCACAATGCGACTGATCCTTCACAAAGCTTAGAAATGGAATGTTTCAACGATATCTGCATGGTACCGAACAGGCAACTTATCAATATGGAAGAAAAACTCAGAACAATTTAAGTCCAATTTTGATTTAAGGCAATGAATAACTGCACGAGTTGCATGATTAAATCACAAGTAAGTGTCTCTAGAATCTAAGCGAGAGATAAATCTGCATTTTTAGCAGCAATGGGAATTGATTTGAAAAAAATGTGAATGGACACAAAATCATTGATATCTCGTAAAAGTGTGGACGGTACGAAAACAATTCGCAGCGAGCAGGATTCGAACCTACGCGGGCAGAGCCCATTTGATTTCGAGTCAAACTCCTTAACCACTCGGACATCGCTGCATGTTTAGTGGGCGAACTATTAAACCATAAGGAATTTGCCTTAATCACCAGATTTGATACGATTCATCAAGAAGCTTTTTTTCCGGGAATTCCCATAAGAAAAATGATATTATATCAGTCTTTTCACATTAATATTTAAGGATTCTACGTTCTAACATGTAATTTCAGTCTGAGGATGAATATAGCAGGAAGTTGTGAAATTATTTAAAGTGTTGAGTCCTGAGACGTCAGTTGCGCTGAATAAGACCAGTATACGGTTATAATGCATTTCACGATTCGTTAACACATTCACATAGTTTTACATGAAAATTTTGCTTTTACGAAACATTTTTACGGGGTTTATGCATATTTTGTTGAGATTTTCAGCTTGTTTTCTTCCTCTTTAGGTTATCATCAACAAATTCTTTAAAGAAGACATAATTGAGTTCTTTTTCCTCAGTTTTGAAGGTGTTTTTGTGATAGTTTCGTGTGATTTTACGATTTCGTGTGTAAATATGATGTGTTCGGTTTGATTTTGATCATTTGTAAGTTCGTTTGAAGGCAGAAATTGTTATCGGACTGCAGTAAATATGGCAAGTGCACAAGATGAAGCCGCGATCGCGGAACTGAAAAAGAAGAGAACATTCAGAAAGTTTTCATATCGTGGTGTTGATCTCGATCAATTGTTGGACATGAATCGGTCTGCTATTCGTGTTTCTTCGTTCTTTTTGCTCGGTTTTTATCAATGCTCAGATGAAAATCGAACAATTCACTTCGCCGAAGAGGATTTCAGCCGAGAAATTGGTGAAACTCTTGAAATGTAAAGAAAATTAGTTGGATTTCAGTGATCAGTTGGCAAAACTTTTGCCGT